ATGTCAAGTTAATATTATAAGATATAATGATATATACATTAGTTGACGTAGCAACTACGAAATGTGTTATAAGGCACAACATAGCGATTCGCGTCTCACTTTTTAAGATGGCGGAAGCATTGTTCTCCTAAAGTACTGATGCATGAATTAAAATATCCATATTTTATTGGGTAGATTTACAGTATCATAAAATATCAACTTGCACAATGTGGACTGGAGGAGAAGTAGGGGGACTTTGAAAAATAAACAGACAATGAAGGGGGGCTTTAATATCATTTGCTGACTTTTGAAGAGGGGGGGCGGGTTGAAACACAAAATTAAAGTATGTTTCAAAAACTCATATATAATTAATGACTGAGCTATTATGTCAATAGAATGAGCCTATTTGGTCACATGCAGTGAACAGCCAAGAGCGGTTCTATTTTACTTTATGAGTATTCATTGTGGGATGACAAGAGTGCTTTGTAAAGTGATTCACGCATGATCAGTTTGCCCCAATTATCTCAAAACATATTTTTCTCAACTCTACCTCGAATGATAATCGCGAATGCTCTGGTTACATTTTAGACCTAAAAAGAGCTTCTAATATATTATCTTCGTGGTTCCTCGGATTCTGACTTTTTATTCACTCAAAGTCCATAGAGCCAATTTTCTTCAACAAGGGTCAATATAGGTGATTGAATTCCTAATTTTTTTATTCTTCTTTGGACCGTACTAGGTACCAAAATAAAGCTTAGAAACGAGGCTATCAGATTCCGTAGAGATTTGTGGAAAGACGTCCAAAGAAAAACTTTTAAGTTTACAAAAAGTTGGTTAACATTTTTATTTCCGGCATAGTTAGTAGAGGGACATTCTCCTTCTATTAATTATGCTTCCGGTGAGCTTTGTTTTGACGCCAATTTTCAAACCTAATGAATAAACCGATGAACAGGATTTATACCACTTTAAAAAGCTGAAAGATAGCATTAATGTTGACTTCAGTTCTAGTCTAAGCTACTTACGCCAAAGATACGTAAATTCAAGTGAATTTCTTATGCAGTTCACGTAAATATAACCAGTGTTACGAAGTTCTGTCGCCTTTTTGATGTAATTCTTTCTATTTCGAAAAATCCTTGTAAGTCTTTGATTTTTTCTTGGTACTTCCATATGATGTAATTTTGATTAACTGTAGATAATAGCCTTCATCTTGACAGTTCGTTTCCTAAGAACCGACATATTGAAAAACGTAACTCCGCTGACCAAACACTATTCTTGTTCACAATTCATTTCAATGAGTGGCCTATTGTTCTGTAAAAATATCTAACGCGTTGAACTGGCTAACCCCTTAAAGATCTACTATATTCAGAGATTACTATTGGTGAGGTTCTGTTTGACTTCTCACTTACAAACCCATAAACAATAAAAAGTATTTTTTCGGAATATTCCAAATTATTTTTTGTTTGATTCTAGCCCCCGATTATCCTCCAAACCTAAAATCAGTCAAGGCCCTGTCTTCGTCAAGTATGCGAGTGACATGGGACCCACTGCCAAATACCACATGCAGATATGGAATTCTGAGAGGCTACAAAGTCTTATACAGGAGGCCTGGTAACCGTTATTGGCATACGTACAATGTCGGTTATGACGTCAATTCAATAGAGATAAGAAATCTCAAGGATTTTACAACGTACATCTTCTCGGTTGTTGCATATACTGTTAAAGACAGCAAGCCAAGTAACGCAATCAGAAAGACGACATTACAAGATGGTATGATTGTATGAAGATCAATGTTTGTTCACTTTCATTTAAAACAGCGTAGTAATTATATTTTAGACGTCAGAATGAAAGTTTTTCCTTAATATTCAAAATCATATGCTTCTAATTCAATCCTGTTGTCACTTGGAAAACGAAGTCCATACACAGGGAGATGTACAAAGGAGAAAAGAAATCTTCAGAAGTTAACAACGTACATATTCTTGGTAGTTGTGGGTACTGTTAAAGATAGTAAGCCAATAGGGAACTCAATAAGCAGGAGGACATGGTATGTTTATAAAATATTCCTCTRATTAACAATTAGGCCACGAGGTCGAGCAG